TGAATTTATTATTGAAACCTGAATTTGTTATCATTGTAATCTGTAGACGTGTCGTGTAAGAACAGAAACACTGACATTTTAGTAACAATAATTATGGCTTTAATAAACTTTCCTTGCTGTATCATTAAAAATAATAATTTTTTTTATCAATGTTAATAACTAACTCTAAAAGTTTTGAGTTTGCATCTTCAGCACCTGTAAGTTTAGCTTTTGTAATTTAAATCACAACCAGAGAGACATGTTCATACCAGTCTAACCTGCAGTTCCTAGTCATTTCCAACAGTTTAACCAAGCTGACAGCACAAATTACAAAATGTAACCCATTTCACAGACAGTAACTTGCAACTTACAGAAAGGAGACACAAAAACAGCGCTTGAAAATTGGCTGACAAATCACTTTCTTGGGCTTATGGTTCAGTGGTGTATGCTGTGAGATGACAGGCAGGAAAGCAAGCAAGCAGGGAGGCAGACAGCTCTGGTAAGGACACGCATAGCCTGCACCCCCAGGACACTTCACACCTCTGTGATATGAACTAATAGAGCTGCAGGACATTATGTAAAAACAGAGGACAGAGAGGAAAAAGATAAGTGTGGATGGACAGGGTCAACGGGAAGAGAGAGGGAGAAAAACTGGTGCTAATGCCTGGTGAATAAAGGGCTGAAATTAAATAGGGATGATTATGGTATGAAAGAGAAAGCAGAATGAGGTGATGATTAGTTGCCATCTAAAATGAAGTAAGTGGTGTCCTCACAATCCCTCTGAATGACAGGTTTGGACTCACAAGTGATTACACTGCTCTAGATAAAAAGAACTGGGTGAGCGTGATACCAAGACAAAGATGGTTTTTAGGGGCTGAAATCAGAGAAATCAGTATGTAAGTGAGAAGAAATGAAAGCATAAGATCCAGAATCTCAGTGACAGAAAAGAGAGGTGGAATGTGCACAGTACTGTAGCTCGGCATGTGCAACAGTAAGTGAACTGTCAGCTGTGGTAGTCACAGCATCAGCAGTAACGTGTCTTAGCAAAACCAGTGTCCTGATTAGTCTGGATGATTTGCAGAGGAGAACAGTTTTCACTGAAGCTATCCTCTGCAGGAGTAGTTGTAATTTTAGAAACACTGAGGTCAAGACCTCTCTCAGCATATGAAACCTCAGGCAGTTTTCACAGAAGCTACTGTAAAAAGGTTTCTGTTTTTAAAATCATTTGGATTTTTCACTAACTGAGTTAACTGTTCAATTATTCATGAAGGTCTAAATGCAATTTCAAAGCCTCTTCACATCCAGGATTAAGATTCTGGAGGAGAAATACTAAAACATTTTATTTATTTATTAGTTAGAGGCATGAAGTAGCCAAATTTAAACTTGCCGAGTCTTAGAATATTAGAATCATTTTATAAATTATTAGTTTTTAATTGTAGAGTTTAAACTTCCCATATTAAAGGTGAAATGTTGTAACATTTGAAAACTGCCTGAGGTTTCATATGCTGAGAGAGGTCTTGACCTCAGTGTTTCTAAAATTACAACTACTCCTGCACGAAGCTGTTGGGTCAGCGGCCTCTGCTCTGCCCAGCCCTCCCTGCTCGCTCTGTTCTACTCCATGCCACTCAACCCTTCATGAAAGCGAAACTGATCACACAGTGTCACAGTTTGGAGAGACATTCACAAAGTTAGCAGGCAGCGTTCCACTGGTGCGCATTAAAATAATGTATCCCACTGAGCTGACTGCCCTGTTTCATGTACAGATACTGTAAACACAACACAACTACACAGCAACTTCCGCTACAGGACAGGCAGGTACAACACATTTACACCCAGCACAGATTGTGAACGCCAGGAAAGAAAGTGCACTCTGAAAAGGTTGCATTGCAAAACAAACAAACAAACAAACAAAAAAACACTTAGCCACTCTGTTGCAGGACACATGCTGCTCGAGAACACGTCTGAAATTGAATAAAACATACTGCTGAGTGCAGCTACAACACTGTAGTAAGTAATATCACCGCAGCTGTACCAGGTGCCAGACTCCTGGGGAAAAATTACAAAGTTGGTGAAGGCTACAACATATTCAGCTGGTGGGCATCAAAATAATGTAATTCACAGTCACAAACTGATTCGACAGCTGCGGTAGACCGCTCGGTGCCTTGTGTATGAACTTTTCTGGATGTAACTACCTGATTATTATAAATGAAAGCAGAAACACACAGTTAGCCAGCTGCTGTTATATCATACTGGGAGTGCAAATGACAGGTTCTGGCATGATTTATCTATAAGCTCAAAGAGCAATAGTTTTAATCCTTATCGTACTACTATAAATAATCAATTCACAACATACCAATAAATCAGAAATAATGCCAGATCAGCATCCCTTTGTAAATCCCTCTTCTCTGTCCACTCTCCCCATCTGCTGAAAGCCGCACTGATACAACTTCATGATCTGAATCCAGTTTTGTTGGATTCTTTTCTTCCTTCTCTTCAAAACTCTCATTTCTTGACCCTCTCTTTTTGTGACATGTCAATAGAGCTAAAGAGCGTTCACATATCAACTGACAGCTGTGAGCTCCCACCCCTGACAGTGCCTTCTCTCATTGGTTAGAGACTCTTAGCCCAGTCAAAAACCCAGACTCAAGCTCTTTGAGTCTGGGGTCACCGCAGCCTTCGACTGCAGCTCTTCCCATTAAGAGAGATATTTGGGGTTGTTTCTGCTAAAAAAAACTGAAACTTAATACACATTGTAACTTTAACCAATAAATATATAAACCAGACCCTAAGGACATGACCTGGTGTCCTCAATTATAGCCATGGCCTTGAGCGGATGCATAAATACTTCCTTTCTTATCTTTTGACAGTATGAGTCAATAATTAGTCACAGTAATCAGTATAACCAATGTTCCTGGGAAGAGATGAACAGAGAGCAACACAGTACCTCAGGGTGGAGGCAGAAAACCAAAAATATCTAAAACTTCACTCTCCACTGCTTTCTGTGTGTGGCATCCATCCCATAAAAATGGGTCATAAATATGTAATAAAATTTTTAAGAGCAGGTTAGTAACTTTCTAAAACAGCTGGGCACCGTCGTTTTTATCACATTAGTCAAACAGGAGACATTTTACAAGAAATTGCCTGGGAATATTTTCAGCTGTGGATTAATACGCATTTGGTGATTTACTGAATATTTACAGCAGCAGATGGTGTTTGTGGAATTGAGTAGAAATAGTGCTCATGTTCATCAGAATGAAGGAACCTGTCATCAAGTGCAACAGCGTGACTGGCTGATATGTTTTTAATATTCAGACAGTAACTGATATCTGTGGCACAGGAATACGCTTCTGTATATCAAATTTGGCTTTGCAGGCAGCACACATTAGTAGGATCAATTCATCGTTGGTTTTGATATTTTCATGTGATTTACTGAACATATTAACAGTGTCATCCTCTACAGACAGAAAGAAGCATCAGTGTGGTGAACAGATGGAAGTATGGATAGTGAAAAGGGTTGCAGGAAATGGCTGGATCCACAGATGAAATAATACTGTCAGGGTAAATTACATGTAGCACTCACCACCATAGCTCATTCAAAGCTCAACATATTGAAGCTGAAATGCTTAAACAACACTGGATTTTATGGAAGTGTGAGGTGAATAGTGCGTTAGGTGTCAATCATGCATGAGAATACCTTCATTACCTCCCCTGAACAGAGTGGAGTGTATTTACTGTCAGAGTAAGTCAAACATCAGGTTTCAGTTTATGCAGAGACACCCTCTCTTTTCCCCTTGTTTTTATCACTGCCAATCCCTCCACTAACTCTTGACATTGCAACCTTATTACCTCACTATAGTATAAAGTAGGTAACACATTATTTATGTCTCTGTGTGTAAAAAAGGGTAGGATGCAGGAGGTGGGCTTTGATGTAGAGTGAAGGTAGTGCACCTGAATGTTCAGCCTATACTGCATCATTAACATATGTGAATGACTTCACATGTGCATGGATACATGTAGCTGATATAAAGCGCACGTGAACATCATATCACAAAAATATACAGTGTAAGTTGTTCTGGAGGGCATGTGTAAGCAAATATTAAAGAAGATTGATTTTGGCCTATGACATTCTTTATTTAACCTGAAAAATCAGCAAACAGAAAAGGCAATGTAATTAAAAGGAAAGATACATTATGATGTTTAAAGTATGCAGCTGGAGTCAGGACATATTAACTTTGCTTAGAATAAAGATGTGAAGACTGTGGAACCAGCACCCCTGTCTCTGTACAAAAAGCCTACCAGCACCTTTAAAGCTCATTAAACTGGTTGTGCCCTGACCGACTGCTCACAGATCGTATCTGGCAACCAGTGTTTCATTATAGTCAGAGATGCTGTAAGGCATTGTTTTATTCTATGCATGAAATATATAAAACATTGCATGAGGGGCTAGCAGAATGTAAACAAAGTGGAGCGCTGGCGCAAGATCTTGCACATGTAGTTGACTCAGATTTGTCCTAACTTCAGAAAATTATGGCTGCACGGCGTCTTTGGTGTAGCACAGTGCGGTGGCATGCTTCACTGATGGGTTTTAATCGCTTTTGAACAACAACGGAGGTCTATGGCACAGATGACCAAGCTAATCCAGGACTGACAGACATTAACCATGGGGCAAATCATTGTTTTAGTCTCTTTATGGGGACTTTTGACAATGCTCAATACAGAAAATGATGGGCCTTATCCTTTAACATCGCAGGGGAGTAAAAGTCTGATGAAAACCCATCTAAATACAGTATATAAATGAAATATGTCATGTTCTAGTATATTTTTGTGTGCTGTTGCACAGCATGAACAGAGAATACACAGCTCCAAGCTACAATCAGGACAAAATTTGCTCTAGAGCCCTAGCAGTAGCTGGACACATTTCATAATCATTCATAATCATCTGTGCCCTACCTCTCATTTCTTTTTCATGCCGCATGACTCATGACCTGTTTGCTGACTGGCTCTGTGTTTTTGTTTTCTAGGATGACCACACCATGTTTTTTCAGTTTGGTCCATCCATTGAGCAGCAGGCCTCTGTCATGTTGAACATCATGGAGGAGTATGACTGGTACATCTTCTCTATAGTCACCACGTATTACCCTGGCCACCAGGACTTTGTCAACAAGGTAAACAACCAATCAAATTACAGGGGCTATTATCTGCAAAGATAAATGTATTCTGTTGATAAAAACTGACCCCAGAAGCAGCAGGTTGCTCATTACTTATCCAGTTAATAGGTATAAACGGTTTCAACCACTGACTCAAATGTGAGATCCACTATCGCTCTGTGTCCCAGTCACATTAGGCGTTATTGCTTTTGTCTTTTGGGGACCCATTTAGAAGACCCGACACTGTACTTTTTTTTTACGTTTTGCAGTGTATTTTAATTCTCTCATAAGGTGAGAGAATAAGATGTCTTCTCCGTTTTTATTTTTAGGCTTATTTAGCAAAGATTACATACAGTTGATAAATATATAAATATAAATTAAGAGAGAGTCTTAAAATTATTTCTTGCTGTACATAATTTATTAAAATGTGGTGGTGTCTCCATCAGTTTTCTTTATGTGTGCCCACTGTACTTTTACCAAAAAAGAAATGAATTAATAAATAAATCGACCACTGCTTCCAACTCCCAAGAGATGTGTAAAGACAGGACAGTTTTGCAATCTGCGAGCTGGAGGAGGAGACATCTCAGTCAGCTGTGTTCCAGTGTCTCTTCTTAACAACGCCACTGAATGTGTGCAGCCTACACGTTTTAAAATCACATCTCCCTTTCTTATCTAGGTCCGCAGCACCATTGAGAACAGCTTTGTAGGCTGGGAGATAGAAGAAGTCCTCCTGCTAGACATGTCAGTGGATGATGGAGACTCCAAGATCCAGAACCAACTTAAGAAACTGCAGAGTCCTGTCATTCTGCTCTACTGCACAAAGGAGGAGGCTACCACTATATTCGAGGTGGCTCATTCTGTGGGTCTCACAGGTTATGGCTTCACCTGGATCGTGCCCTCACTGGTGGCCGGAGATGCAGACGTCGTTCCCTCTGTCTTCCCTATAGGTACACCCAAACACCACAGTCAGAGATCAGATAGACATCTAAACGTTTCAGTTGTGCCAAGATGTCAAGTTCTTGGCTATCTTAAGTAGGACTAATTTGCTATGAATTCTAGACATAAGATGACAAAAAAAGATGCAAGGAAAAAATGTGAGGAGAGAGGAATCAACAATGTTTGTAGAAACACAACAATCCTTCATTTGAAGCATCAAATCACCAACTGATTTCCAATAAATGGACATCTCTGTCCATAAAAGACTTCTGCAAAGGATGCTCTTGTGTGTCATGGCTCCTCCAGCAGCCTCCTCTCAGAGCAGATATAAGAGTCTTGGAATGTCCTTGATGTTCACTGAGTCGGAACAGCTTCCAGGTTGAGCAGGGATAAGGAACAATCATTTAAGAGACTTGAAAAGCAGCCATAATGTGAGTAATTTTCCACTAGCTGTTAATCACCCCCCTGCCAGCCACTGTGATAAAATCTGATAGCTTTAGTCCCCTCATCTGGAATGATGATGCCTGCAGCATATGGTTAAAGTTAGTGTTTGTAATAAGGTGGCGCTGTGGTAGCCTTTTACAACATGTGTTGCATATCTGTCCATCCTGGAAGGTGGAGGGGCAGTGCACTCTGTACTGCATTATTCTATGGCGGGTTCTCAAAAACATTGTATTGAAATGTGAACAAAGTGACAAATGGGCTTGTTTGTATGTATGTGAATGTACTACTATCTACTTATTATGCATAAATGTGAGACAAACTTGGGTTGACCAGCTTTACTTTAAAAATGCAGCTGTCAGATCTAATAATAGTTTGAGCTTTGGCCTCACTGGAGTTCATTGTTACAAGAATTCCCAGTGATGTTTTGGAAATGTCTCTCCAGGCATGTGGTCAGAGACGCTGGAGAGAAACCCTTTTGTCATTTTGCAGTTGCTTTCCTTCACAACTGTCCTCCCACCAAGCATATTTGAAGCAGTTTACTCGAACTGTGGTGCATTTACTCTTGTAATTCCATTTTGCTTGGATGAGTGAAAAGAAGAAACCAGTAACAACACCAAGACTGACTGAAAATGCAGGTTTGCCTCTATCCAACATATTTACTGTGCAAGTTTCTAATGTGAACACAGAAAGTGACCAAAAGATGCTGTTGCTTACAGGTGTAAGAAACTGATGTTGACATCTGATAGCCAGCAGCTCCTCATGCTTGAATAGCCAAGCATAACAAAAAAATGAGCTCAGGGATGACCGTAGACTCGACTTCCGCACATACTCAGCAATTCTTTTATATGTCTTCAACCTGTATGAGCAATTTTTTATAAACTGAAAGGCAGGAGGGCTCCAGTCTGGCTTGGAGCAAATCAAAATATTTTAGGTATGATTGCTTAATTTTGTCTGTGTTTTGCCACTTTTCTCTAAAGTGCCTTCATTCCTGTATAGCTTTTCCTCCTTCTGCTATTCTGCCACTGCTTTTTTTATGCGTACTCTCCCTCTCTTTCTCCTCAATTTCTCTTTCCCAATCCTTTTAATCTTACCACTTCTTTCATACATCCTTCCCTCCCACTCCATCTCTTTCTTTCCCAGGGCTTATCTCAGTATCATATGATGAATGGGACTACAACATTGAGGCCAGGGTACGTGATGCAGTTGCTGTCATTGCCACAGCAACCTCCACCATGATTCTGGACCGGGGACCACACACCCTGATGAAGTCGAGTTGCCTTGGGACACCTGACAAAAAGAGCGCCTCCACTGGCCACAACAAGGAAATACTAAAGTGAGTCAGTACTGGGAAAATGGTTGGTCATGAGGGAGGATCACACAAATACACATACTGTAGACTGAAATTGTGCAGTAAACTAAGCAGCTGAGCATCTAGTGTTCATCTCTTCATAGTTCAGCAGCTGTAAATGCACATGGCCGGTCTGTCTACAGCTTGATGCACTGTGCATAGACCTGTGGTGGATGGTGTCTTTTTTTTCCTTATACAAAACAGCAGCAAAGGTGTAACAAGTGAATTAAACTGTACATTTATCTGCTCTACTGCAAATGTTAACACAGTAGCTTGCCAAACTGCTATTTGTCTAGGGAGCATCTCACTAACAACTACATTATTTAGTGAGGTTAGAAGTTACAACCTGTTCATAACTGGGACATTTACCCTGTTGGAGTTGACGTGCTACTACATCAAGGTTTAGAGTATAACAATAGAGGCTGTGCCTTGGTGTTTTTTGGGTTACACTCTAGAAAATCCTGTAACTTGTGATAGTGCTAATGTTTGCCAAACCGTTCACTAAAGCTGGCCGTTTGCTCCTTCAGTTATCACTGTCTCTCCATTTTGTTCACTGTCTGATGGTCAAAGGCTACAGAGAGTTTAAGTGTAAGCATTATCTTATTCTAGCTAACTGCAGCTGATAAAACCTGTTACAGTTATTGTCTTAACCAAAACACATTTTCAGCACAAAGCATTTTCTGAAAACATTGTTTTTGATTACACCTTCTTTGAATATGAGCCCGGATCAAGTAAAGACAATATTACCGGCTGAAAACAAAATGAGCCATGTTCACCTAGTTTTACAAGTTTTCAAATTTATTTTGGTACCGAAAATGAGCAGGTGCTTCATGCACATTGTAAAAAGAAGCACATGAAATCTTTTGTTTTGTTTTGTTTTGTTTTTTCACAATGAGTAAGAGCCAAAGGAACTGGCTGGTAAAATAAGAGGATAAAAATGTGGTTTGATTCTCTGTTGCTGAAACAGTTGAAAATATCAAAATAATGTGTGACCATACACGCACAGTGCAACATGGATGACAAATATGCGTACAGTAAATACATACATGCATCACCAAATTAGATCCACGCCCAGAGGAGAACCAGAATTTGTTAAACCAGCCGGTAAAAATTCAAAATGCCTCTGTTCAAGATGAACAGAGGCATTAGCTCTCAGATCTGTATCATCTTTAGTTTAACCCACGGCCATCCTTAAAAGAAAACATTCTCATCTTCCTCTGAACCTCCTTGTTTTGCTTTTTGGCACATTGCAGAACAAACAGGAACACTGGTATTCAATAATTAATCCCCATTTAGCTTCATAGGGCATTCTTTTACTGTTTGCACTGATCAGAGATTCCCCAGTTAATCGAGTGCTCAAGGACAGCTGGATTAACAAAAAAAAAAAGAGCCAAGGAACAACAGTGGGGTCAGCACACAGAAACACATACACGTATGTGGTGTTATAGGCTGGCATTTAACTGCACCTTGGGGCTTAATCTACCAAAAGCTTGAATTACTGATGCTACCCCTTATTATATGTACAATAATTTAGCCTTACAAAGCTGTGTGCTGGGCAGCACAGCGGTGTGGTGGCTAGTGTTGTCACCTCACAGCAGTAAGGTTCCAGGTTCAAGCCTGGGCTGACCTGTGGCATTTCTGTGTGGACTTTGCATGTTCTCTCTATGTACTCCGGCTTCCTCGCACAGTCCAAAGCCATATAGTTAGGATGACTCTAAACTGCCTGTGTGTGTGGTTGTTTGTCTAAATGTCAGCCCTGTGATAGGTTGGTGACCTGTCCAGGGTGGACCCTGCCTCTCACCCAATGTCAGCTGGGATTTGCTCCTGCAACCCTATTCAGGAATAAGCGGTATAAATAATGGGTGGATAAAAAGCTGTTTTTCCTCATAATATTGAACATTTTCAGTAGTTTTTTCACCTTCAGTTTGAACTTGAGCAACATAAAAAACTGTGGCTGTAATAATCTCCGGGTTGAGGTTGATGTATTACTGCAAATTTTGGACTATCAGTGTTTCTGTTTTTGATATTGAGGCACATGCTATCTAGAATTCCACTACCAACAGGCCTGAGATAACAATAACACCACAGCCATGAATATTTCAGTCTCCAAAGGGTGCTATCAGACACAGGGTTAACTCTCAATCCTTTTGCAGGCACACCCCTGGGACGCTCTACTGCTGCATGTGTATGTGCGTGTTGGAGAGCACCATGTTGTGTCTGTTTTCCAACCAACCGTCCCATTTTTCTCCATTCCACTGAGTGAGGGTAGAGAATTTGAATTGGTGGTTCTTGGTGGTGTTCCCAGAGGCTAGAAGCAGCCCAGCACACACACCTAATTCCACCTATTCCATCCCCTCACCTCCAGAGAGAAAAGCAATAATAAGGCCATATGTCTCTGTGTGGTCCTGTATAGCTACAGGCCACAGTGGGCTGCATGCATGCTGGATTAACAGGCCATCCAGTCAGCGCTGATGGACAGAGATGGGAGGCCCCAGTGAGTCACACTCTCAGATTTGTTTAGAGGCTGTTACAGGGCACACATACACAAACATGCATACTTAAACATATACATACACCACAAGGGCTCACATGCTCCAACACAGTAAGTAACCGTGCACATACAGAAGAAGCTCTAGAGGCCAGTCGTTGTTTCCTACCTGACAGAGATGACAGGAGCTCTGGGATAATGAGAAAATGTGCTTCAAGGAGCTTATTTGGATGTTTCAGGGAAAGGGACGGATTTTATTATTTGTTTCTCTCCAAGTGTGCACGCTCACGTTCAAATTCCCTCTTGAATCCTGGTGCTGATATAGAAATGCTGCACGGGTGGATACGATCTAAGCGATGATTAATATTTAGTAGTGAGTTTGCCTTTGTGTAAACTAATGAGACATTTGTATCATGCCTCTGGGCATGTACTCTCAGCATAGCTAGACCTTTTCTGCATGCATGTCTGACACTTGCTGCGTCTCATGCATGCAAGACGAGCATGTTACTCTCACCCTGTTTTGCCTTTAAAGTTGATTTTCCTGCAGGAGGAGAGCAGTGTTATTGCATTTCTTAATGAGCACAATAAAGTGTCTGTTTAATAAATCCTAGTTCTGTTTATTAGAAGGTGAGCTGGCCATTTTATTGTGTTTTGGGGCACCTAGAGCACAAATGATCATCTCTTTTCATAAACCCTTCCTTGCCATGAAAGTGGCTCACAGTATCTATTTTACCTGTCTTTGTGTCGTCTGCACATTGTGTCACTCAGTTCCTATGTTTCCCCTTTCTTTTCTTTCTTCATTTAACCTCTTGTCTGTCAGAACTGTGTTGAAACCTCACCTCTTGTTAATGAATATTCTATATTCTGTGCACCTTCTTTCTCTTTCTTTTCTCACTCTGATGCTCCTACAGCAATCCATTCTTAATGAAAAGCTCTTTCAATTACATGAAGCTAAAATGTTTCATCAGAAAGCAGCGATGACTCTTCCACTGCCCACCTCCGCTCCTTTTTCTCTTTCTTCTTCTGTCAAAAAACGTTGATCCTAATTTTCTAAATATAAATACATTGTAAGTAGGGAGGATTAATTTGTTTAAAGATGGGATTACTTTTATTGAGCATGAATTCAATTTCTCTCATTAAAATCTGTCATCTGTGTCCTCTCCCTGTTTATGACTAATTCCTGTGAGGGACATTAAAATGCCATAAAAATAACCAATCAATATTTCATATGGCCTTTTACTTATTGGAATTTTTTTCTTAATGGGTCCATGGAAATTTGCGCACATCTGTTAAACTCACTGACAGTGTTAGTTGTGGATATATAAATTCACTTTGATGACCTTAACAAACCTTAGAATTATTGCTATGTTATACTTAAATTAAAGGAGGTAGAGGACTTCCAATACGTTTTATTTTAATTATAGTGAAGAGTAAGACGAAACAAACTACCACTAGTGACGTCTTCAGCTTTGACCAACCAGCAGTCCAGCACTTTTCTTGTAAAGTAAATACAAAGATTAATGGATTATCAAAATAATTCCAGATTAATGCTTTTTATAAACTAACTGAGTAACTATTCATTTTAGCTTTTTTATTTTTTATTTTTTTGTAAACCTGACTGACACATCACTGGCATTTCTGTGAATATCCATTTACGTTTCACTTGACATTAGCTTGTTATGGCAGCAGCTTTTTAGCATGCATAGAATTTTTAGTAGGAGGGGACATTCATCCCATTTGCTTTATCTTGAAATCAAACTCAGATATTTTTCCCTGAAATTATCACTAGCAACAAACACCACTAGTACTTGGTGTTTGCAGGCTGTAGAAGGTCAGCGTCCTAGCCCTTGTTCACGTTTTAAATGAGAGAGGACTCTCTCTGATGCAGTGCTACCTCTCTCCAGGCTCCACAGGTAACCATCTGGTGTCTCCTGCTAAGCAGGGGTCCTCAGATCACACAGAGCCCGTATAGACTCACTTATTAAATGCTGCATGTCAAAGAGACTCTGAGCCTTACATCTTTGCCATTGTATGTGTAGTTCACATCTCTCTCTCAATTTAGGTTCATTCCTGATAAAATGCAGTAGATCATCACACTTGCTGTCATTTGAGTAAAAATTCAAGTACAAGCCAGAAATTCAAATTCAACCTGCAAAACAGTTTGTTTATGGCAGCTCCCAGGCACTCAGGTGCAGATTTAGTCAAAATGGCTGGCAGACAATCAGATACTTTATATTCAAAAGGCTTTAATTATGACACATACTGGAGACATCAAGCACGCTGCTCATGTACATTATTAAAACTTAATTATAAACCATCAGGTTTCTCATGCAAATTATTGTTTGCCTTTTTCTTTTTTTGACTTAGATGTGCAGTTGTACATGGGGACAGTCATGCAGGCTATATGTTCACGTGACCAAAATCTGATTTCTTTCCCCTTCAAGTGATTCAGATCTGATCTTTTCATGAATGTGTGAACAAACCAAATCAGATCCTTTTAAATCAGATCTAGGCCACTTCCATATGTGGTCTTAGATATGATTCATATCTGATCTCTGACCATGTGACTGCTGCCGGAACAGTCAGATTAGAGTTCATATACTTTTTTTTTTTTTTTTACATTTCACTCTGCTGTGCATGCACATATGGCCTGTAGTCATCATTTGGTGTCAGCCCCTCACAGGCCAGTAAATATGAGCACAGAGGAGAACAGAGTTCACCTTCACACAGAGGACATTTATTGTTCTTATTCTTGTACACATGCAGCTCACATTTCAGTTAAATCTGCACACATGTGGTTAACATAGGTAATACTTTAACATAAAGGTGAACAAAATAATGCTGAAATCTTTGTATCTCTGTATTGGACTGGCTATTCCTACTGTGTAAAGTAGCTGTCTGCTTAATCTGGTGGATTTAATGACATTATAATCACATATATACATGACCATACTTCAGCACATTCTGTAGCTGTACATATTACACTGTTCACAGAGTTACTGCTTCGATCATACAGGACTGTGTAGTACACGTTTCATCAGAAACTCTTTAGCGGCAGGTCCTCTGCTGTCAACAGATTATGAGTCATCCACCCAAGCTTGATACAGCATGCGTGTGTGTGCATGTGCACTACAGACTTCGTGACATGCACACACACACAGAAGAGAGATATATATTTTTACATCCCTGCATTGCTGCAACAGAGAATTTTTGACCCTGTACAGCTTGAAAAGAAAGTCATATCAAATGGCTCAGCAATGCATTTGAAGTGATTTGAGAAAAAAGGGGGAGAGAGGGACTGTGTCCATGCCACTGATGATTCAGTGTCTCTGTAACTAAAATATAAATTCCCCTCACAGCCAGTGATTAGTTGGGGAACAGTTGGTGAACGAGGCACACAAGTGCTGCATATGGCAGTGATGAAGCCACATGAGGTTTTGTTAGTAGCTCATCCCAGTAGTTTTTATTTTTTTGTTTTTTTTATTCTTCCAGCAGAGTCAGAGGGGAGTTCTGACACAAGAAGGAATCAAACACCACATAAAAGCTACATCAATAGTACAGGGATACAAATGATAAACAGAGCCGCCTCCCCTGCTGCAAATTCACAGAAAGCATCAGTCTTTGTAAAGGCACAGGTTAATGTACGGGCAGATGATCCTATTGATGTGTGATTCAATGCTCTACTGAGACAGAGAGATTGATCTGAAAGTAAAAGACGACGTGAGGGGAAGAAATATTTATTTCTCTCTCTCTCTCTTTTTTTTTTTTTCAACCAACCTCTTGGTGAGATTACTGTTCCCATGGCAACGCAGCTGATTGCACAAAAATTGCTGTGGTTGTGGGTGCCATGGCAACACATTACACTATGTTATACTGGTGTTTAGTGCATCCCTATGTTGCAGTTTTGCATATACTTGCATGTCATACCATCAGGAGGCCACCACTGTTCACGTGGGTCGTCATGGTTGTCAGGACGGCAGCAAGCTGGATCTCCCGGGCCTTCACCCACACCACCTTGATCTTTTTGGTTCCCTGTTCAAACTGCGATTGTGCTTAGGAGGCTAATCTTATACTACATGTGCATTACAGCACTTTTAATGTGGTATGCAGCAATAGGTATTTCATGGTGGCTTGAGTCATATCATTGACTTGCTCTAAGCGTGTAGCGTACTTAGTTCTGTGTGTGTGTGTGTGTGTGTGTGTGTGTGTGTGTGAAGAGGGGAGATAAATATAGCCAAAGATTTTACAGAGAGAAGTGCTGAATGTTCTAGTAGGAGGTACTTGTGACACAGTCTTGGGTAACTTTCACTCTCAGCGCTCATCTGTTGTCTGTGTTCTTTTTTATCTGTTCACTTGTGAGTATTCACATTGTTGACTTGGATGGAGTGATGGCGAGTAAAATGTGCACAGCGCCACCTTTAAAACGTCTGCACACGGCACCACGCACATACACACACACACACACACAACAGCTCACTCCTTGCATTCAGACAAGATAACTTATTTCTCTGGCAGATTGTTTCACTGGCAGAGCATCTCCATGGTGATGGCAGCCCACAGATCAGGGCAAGGAAGAGTGAGGAAAGGAGGCGGCGGAGAGGGAAAGACATGATTCCAGTTTATCTGACATTGCTGTAAATTTGTTGACACACATATGTATTCACACAGGCGGTTACCACACTCTCTACTCTTTTCCCACTCTTCCACCTTTCACTCATGGTTTCTTGGTGCTCTCCTCACCCTCCCTGCTCTCACTCAACTCTCCAGCCTCGCTGTTTTCTTAGGCCTGTCAGGTGCCAGATTTTACCAAGCTTGAGTCATTTAAGGAGGGAAAAGGCATGTTTAGGAACAGTCGTCTTGTTTTTAGTTAACATGCAGCACAATGTGATCATGAAGTTGAAGGCAGCCCTTCTGCTTTTACTGTTTTCATTGTCATTCTTAACAAAAAAGCATGTTTTCATTCCTTGTGGAAGCCCTACATTGACTTGGATTCATTCATACAGTCTTCGACATCATCGTTATCACTAAGATCATTCCTAATAATGCGGCCCAGATACTCAACTCAATTAACCACTTCCAACACCCGGTCAGACAAAGCAAATGTGAGAAACCTAAGCTTCAAATCCTCTTTAGTTTTGATAATCATAATGCTACTCTTTAGGATTAAACATAATATCAAACTGAGCACCATATCTAGAGCCCACGCCGAGAAGGGGGGCACATTTGAAATACATGTAAAAAGTAAATTAAACCCTTAGTTTTATGAACTAATAAACCATACATTATTAAGAATGAAATTGTTTATTTTGTGTAAAAATGAGACACAAAGTGCTTTCTTTAGTTAACTTTGGCTACAGTGACTTAACAGAGTGTCGCGCCTTAGGACCTCAGACCTGCAAAATTAGTATCTTTTTTGAAGGGTATAACATCAAATACCAAAAATAAAAATATGCATAGCAGTTCAAAAATGTAGAACCTGTGGGTGTCAGATATTATATAGCCATCTCCAGACATGATTTTCACAAAAGAAATTACTAGTATTACACTGCCAAGTACTTAAACTGAGTACTTGACAGCACTGAATCATTACCAGTGCCAGCCATGTGCGCTTTGTGATTGAAATGTTTTGGCTCAATATTTCAGCATTCAAGGCATTTAAGAAACTGTATGTTTAAAACTGAGGGTCAATGATTTATATTTTTTGTCCCCTGCCCCTCCCACTGTTTTAAACTGTGAGTATGTTAGACTTATGACAGCTGTCGAGAAGTGGGCAGCAGGTCACACTGTGATAGCGTTACTGCCCTGCTGCTCTCTCGCTCTTTCATGGCCTTAGTTTTGACCACAGCAGGCAGCTGTTTTCAGCAAAAAAGCTCAGCACCAAATGGCACATAGACAGAGTTAGAGACCAGCTGGTGAACATAGTGGAGTGTTTAACAGCAATAGAGCCAGATGTTTCCCTCAGGAGCTAGTAGAGACCAAAAACAGAGCAAAAAGAGAGTCAGCATTGGCCCTGGTCACTAGTTGGCCAGTAAGACTGTAAATGAAGGGTGATGTGTTCTTCAGTTGACCTAAAAATCAATTTATGTAGCTTTAAGGAAATGTCCAAACCAAAGAAAAGAAAAACTTCAATCTACAATATGTTCAGTTTATTTTTTGTCTTGATGTTATAGTGGCAAAACGTATAATCTTAAGTTGCTGAAGCGGCTTTAAATTATTTATATCCATTACGCATTTTTTTAATAACTGAAATCATGGATAAGAAATGATGTTCAAGGTCTAACGTCTGCATATTATGACAGATATTTGTCACTCAAACCTGAATCCTCATCCTCAGGTACCTCATGAATGTGACTTTTGAAGGCCGAAACCTATCATTTAGTGAAGAGGGTCACCAGATGTTCCCCAAACTGGTCATCATCCTTCTAGACAAAGACAGACAATGGGACAGGGTGAGTCTCTTCTCTTCTCTTCCTCTAATCTACAGTGTTCTCTGTCTTTTTTTAAATTTTTTTTATTTTTTTACTGGTTTATATTTTTCATCCTCTGTGATGTGTCTGTCACTTTTTCATTTGGAGTGCCTCCCTGCCACTTGAAGTACCTGTTACCGTAGCCTGTATATCACACAGCTTTCCTCCCACTCACTCGTGCAGGTTGGTAAGTGGGAGAGAGGCTCTCTGACGATGAGGTACCATGTGTGGCCTCGCTTTGAGCTGTACCATGGAGCGGAGGAGCGGGACGACCACCTGTCCATTGTGACTCTGGAGGAGGCGCCATTTGTCATTGTGGAGGATGTGGACCCGCTCAGTGGCACCTGCATGAGAAACACTGTGCCGTGTCGCAAACAGCTCAAACTCAGGTGAGAATAAAAATAAAAAACATTTTATGCTTTATATTTTGTTTCCTTTTTTCTGAAGACATTTTGGTCTCAGAGGAATAAGGTTTTTATTGTGTAAATTCAGGATGAATATTGGAGAGTCAAGTTGCTAAAAGTCTTAAAATAGAACAATATGTGTGATTTGTACATTAAAATTGTGCCATGTGACCTTTCTGCATCTATCCAAAGTCATTAGTCACACCTTAGAAACTGCCATTGCTCATAAAAACTTTTATTATGCAAATTGTGAATAAAAAAAAGGATTTAAAAAACTTGGATTGTCACTTTTTTTGGTTTCTCTTTGGCTTCTTTGTTCATTATTTTTCCATCACCACAACATGCTGCAATTTTTCTCTTGCTTTTCTTTACTGGATTTTAAAAATTTAATCTGTTTAGTCCTAGAATCCCACAGTGTCCTGTGATTACCTTGACTCAATTCCCCTCTGTTAACTAGGTTATTGTCTTGGTGTCTGTCACAACCAGTCCTCAACCCTCCTGCCTTTTCACGCTCTTACTATCCACTTCTCCTCGGTGTGTGATAATGAATTTTCTTCATTGGCTTCCTTTGGTCTACCTGACATTCCCTGAGGGTGTGCTGCGTTCTTTGGCTCAGATCTGATCCTTTACCTTGTTCTTTGTCCTACTTCCCTTTTCTTCCTCCTTCTGTCTTTCTGTCTCTTGCTTTTAAAACATCTTCACATACATTACACCATTCCAGACATAGGCAACAATTTGCTACAGAGAATATGCAGGATTACTTTCCAGCAAGAAATGCTTCATGAGTCAGCTGTGTAGATTCATCTGTGTATGCACGAAAGCAGAAATATGAGGACACAGCCTTAGTGCCAGGCAGATAAGCCTCTGTGTTCACATCATTCCATGTTATACAGTGCATTTTGTCTCAATAATCACGAAGGTAGTTTATTTGCAGGAGCTGAAATTCAAAATTCATCTCACAGTTGTTTATAAACAGAGGTTGTGTGAATAAAAAACACACTCAAACAAACACATTTGCCCTTGTTCCAGCACTGGCAACATCCTCTAACTGAGCCAGACCTGCCACTGTGCTGTTACCCACAGCTGTATCTGATGTGAGACAAAACAAACCACTGATGACACATGGTTTGGTCAGATGTGCTTTACTCTTAGTCTCCCATTACTATTTGGGTGACAGAATGAAAACCAGTGTTGGAATAAAATAGCACTCATAGAAATGTGGATGTTATTGTCTTGTTATTGTTGTGGTGTGTGCTATTGTGTTGGACTAAGTGGCTTTATGAACAGTCACCTAAATTCTTTTGGTGACATTTTCCATCTTTTTCCACATAGCACACCACTCTGTGTGCGCATGTGTGAAAGTATGACTTGTTTTATGTTTTATTTGATTTTCTGTGGGAAGTGGTGTGTGCAAAGTATCATGTCATGCCCATTATAATACCCAGAGCCAAAGATGATGTCTTGTTTTGTACAATCACCTACTTGACAAAGAACAGCAGCATATCCACAAATCTGATACCAGTAAATGTCTGTCGATCTGCATTTATAGTGTATTTGTGGCCCCAGGTGGTTTCACTGAGCTGTGCCTGGTGTCTGATGTGCTAACCTGTTTTCAGTTGGCATGAAAACCTGCATATTCCCCCCACATGGTACTTGGATGCTGTTTCATCCCTGCTGCTGTCCTCTGTGTTTTGAATCTGCTGTGCCTAAAATAAATGTCGATCTCAGATTGCTGAAGTTTTTTTCTCCTGTTCCCCCATCTACACTTCCTCAACCCCCACCCCCATTCCTCCTTTTACCTCCTACCAGCAACCAGACAGGTGATTCAGGGATTTACATCAAGCGCTGCTGCAAGGGTTTCTGTATTGACATCCTGAAGAAAATCGCCAAGATGGTCAAATTTACTTATGACCTCTACCTGGTCACCAACGGTAAACATGGCAAGAAGGTCAATGGGACTTGGAACGGCATGGTTGGAGAGGTGAAGAAATCTCTTTCTTTTACACAAAAACACAATCACTCCATTTATTCCACAGTTTTTGGATGACGTACCGGCTCTGATGTTGACTGTGTCACTCATCTGTAGTGTGCTGGCACGTTTTTGAGTTTTATGCAGTGTTAGACTTTATTTGGATTTGATTCTGATGAGCCTGACTCAACACTAGAAAGAAGCAGCAGCTTTGTATCAGCTGTAAACAGCTTAAAAATACTCACGGTTTGGTTGATTTCATTCAGACCTGCTGGCATGTCAGCTGATCACAGATTTCACAGCTGCAAGATCACTACAGCAGCACTGGAAACCTTGCCATACAACTGTTGAACCATCAGAGTGACTCAGTAAGGCAGGATAACAGAATTATGTTTGGTGTAGTATAATATAGTACTCCAGTATATTCCCTATAACTACGAGGCTGTTTATTAATTGGCATTCATTTAGCTCATCGTAGGTGGTGTGCCACCAGTGGCATAGAGTATCTCTGCCACCACTGTTAATTTGTGGAATGAGAAAAGTATGTATAGAGTAGAGAGTATAGCTGAGAATTTGGTTTCCAAGTGTCTCTTGTTCATTGTTAAACATACCTTCATCGAGGCCATTTGAAAATGTGTGACTCTGGGAGAAATTACACCAGTTTCAAAATTGCAGTCACAGTACTAGCATACAGAATATGTCAAATTAAGAGAGGTTGTCATTTAGTAAAGTGAAAATAATAAATTAGTCATTTAATGTTGATCAATTGCAGGCCTTATAATTAACCTTGTAATACAATATTTAAAAAAAAAAGCCAATGTGTTGCTTCATTTTTGGTCATAAACCCACCACATACAACAGCTACAGCTTCACATTTCTTAATTTTAATTGCTTTTCATTTAGTTATTATGCTTTGTGTTTATTTATTCAACATATGTATGTTTGTCATTTTTTCCTTTGCTCATCACTTTTGCTGCTCTTATTCCCCTACAGTTTTACTGTTAAGCAGTTTCTCATTCACTTCTCTTTACAATATGAATACTAAATTGATTTTCACAATTTAAAAATCTATGTCAAATGCTCCTACGGCCAAGGACAGTGTTTCAGTGCCAGGAATATATCTGTATGACAGGACTAAAGACATTGTTTGAGCATCTTTCTATTTCTGTTTTCTTAGTTTCTAACACCCTATGTCAGGCCATCAGACGCTTGTTCCCCACAGCCTATCCTGAGGGCGAGCTGTGATAAGCTCCCCAAAACCTCAGCAGGAGGACAATGAGACTCCTAATCAGAGATGGGGAAAAGATACAGAAGAAAAAGACAAGTGATTGGAAGAGGGAAGCAGAGGAGGAGAAAGCAGCTTCTCCGCTGCAAACATTATACATTGGGCATCCAGCCCACTGCAGCCTTTACAAATCAATGTGATGTCCAACTGATATGGCACAGAATGATCAACTTTATTATTACGTGGACACACTTTCCCATTGAACTGAATGGGAAAGTGTGTACAGTACAAACATTTCACTGGTAGATCAGTGACGATGTGCCAGGTAAAATAAAAACCCAGTGTCTTAAGTCCACTACTGTAGAGCATGTTATAAAATTTATGAAATACAGATCAGCATAAAGACAAGGCTATGCAAATGCTCAGTGCATGCATGGATGCACTAGTCCATGTCCTTAAATGCTTAAGGAAGCAGCTAATGATTTAATTTGACTGGGAGTAAACAAGGACAACAGATGCACTCAACAGAATGAGACAGAGAACAAAGAGAGAGAAGATCTCAATGATCTTGGATTCCTAATCACTCTGCCATACATATCTCTTATTAGCACAGTCTTTTGTGCTCCATGCTTATTCATGACTTCCAAAATTTAGGGCTAAATATACCTGAACACCCTCCGATGGAGGCCGGGGAAGTGGGGAGTCGAATGCCGGTTCAGTGTAGTAATGATTTCCTTCTCCTGCTCTTCCCATTCTACTGAAATAACCTGTTAAACACTCAGCAGAGGTGGCAGCTTATTTAAGAGCCTCAGCACTGAACTGCTTTAACCATTCTACTTTTCACCAGTGTGTTTTTCACCACAGTCCTGGGAATCCACAGTGCTGAACGCCCACTGACCCTCCTGTCTGTCTCTGCGTATTTGTGGTTGACCCTCAGGTGGTGTTGAAGAATGCACACATGGCAGTGGGTTCGCTCACCATCAACGAGGAGAGGTCGGAGGTCATTGACTTCTCTGTGCCGTTCATAGAGACCGGGATTAGTGTCATGGTCTCTCGTAGCAATGGAACCGTCTCCCCATCTGCCTTTCTCGGTGAGAAGAAAAGCACCTGGCGTTTCTTGCAGATATACAAAGAATACTTACATCCACAAACATGTGCTCATACCATGTAAGACATGCACTGTCACAAATAGAGATACAACATGAATGTTTTCACATAGACATAAAACCCTGCTGAAAAATTGTGGGGTTTTTTTGTGACTGCATTTGTTATGCACAAAAAAAAATTGTTTGAGTACATAGAAACTTTTAAGGATTATAATTTTATAGTGATTCATGACAAATGAGCAAACTGTATCTACTGGCGGGGATTGTGTGACACAGTCAAAAGCTTCACTGAACAGCTACTAGACAGACCTTGTGGTGAGATTTTGTTAACAACAGAGCCATTTGTGTTTGTCACAGACTGTACTGTGTGTGAAAATTGCAAAGCGGAGTACGGAGCGAGTGGTGAAAATGTGCCATTTCAATGAGTACATCTGTCCATTCGCACCTACCTACCTTCCTCACTGTTTCTCTCTCAAGAAGCGCTTATTCAGTTAAAAATGCATAAATGGGCAACAAACAGTGCACAATACCTCATCTCTGAATAAAAACAACAATGCTGATACCAGGGGGGTGATTTTATTATTTGGTTTAATTTGGTTTAACAAGCTTCCGCTCTCTGTTATTCCACAACCCTCCTTCATTCCCCTTTCCGCTTCCTTTGCTCCCCCCCTCTTCTGTGTTTTAGAGCCCTTCAGTGCCGATGTCTGGGTGATGATGTTTGTGATGTTGCTGATCGTGTCGGCCGTGGCTGTGTTTGTGTTTGAGTACTTCAGCCCAGTGGGCTACAATCGCTGTCTGGCAGACGGACGAGGTAAGACGCACACACAAGCCGAGACCCAAAAAACATGACGATGTACATTTTCAGGTTTCAGTCTCATGTTCTAAACTGACGGTTTAGTCAGCAGATGGTTTTGTTACCTTAAATGCACCATTGAAAATAGTGCCCTCCGTGTGCTAAATTACTTTAACCATCCCTTCTGAATGAGTGTGACTGGAGCACTGGGAGTTTTTACTTGACGTCTTGGAGTACTTATCGACATCTACAGTCACTTAAGCTTTTTTCACTAATGAAAAGGTTCATTGACAAGAACCAAATAGGTGATGTGAAGTATTCTTAGCACTGCTGTGTGAATAACGACTCCTTTTGTTCTTGATTTACAAATGTCTTTTTTAATGTGCTGTTGTCAGATACTACACCAGTGTTATGCCAACACATCTAGGCTGCAAAACCAATTAATACACTTAAATAGATCTGTAAGGACTCCACCTAGTCACAGTAACTGTCACATCCCTCGAAACACAGGCCGAGGTGGTGGCATGGCAGCGATCTTTGACTCAAGCCTAATAATCAGCCCTAGACCTAAACATAGTTATAACTCATTTGAAAGTCTCACCCTGAGTCTCTCACACCCAAACTGGAAAACTCAAAAGCCTGTTCTGTTTGTTATTGTATACCGTCCACCTGCTCCTTATTCAGAGTTTTTAAGTGAATTCTCAGACTTTCTGTCTGATTTAGTGCTTAGTACAGATAAAATAATCATAGTAGGCGACTTTAATATTCATGTAGATGCCGACAATGACAGCCTCAACAATGCATTCTGTTCATTATTAGACTCAGTTGGCTTCTCTCAAACTAAATAAACCCACTCACTGTTTTAATCACACTCTTGATCTGGTTCTGACATATGGCATCAAAACTGAACACTTAATAGTTTTTCCCCATAACCCTCTTCTGTCTGACCATTTTCTAATAACTTTTGAATTTCCATTAATGGATTATACTCTATGTGGGAAACAATTCCACTACAGCAGATGTCCATCTGGCAATGCTGTTACCAAGTTTAAGGAAATAATTCCATCTTTATCTACTTCAGTGCCGTTTGCCAACACAGTGGAAGGAGGCCACCTTAACCTTACTCCCACACAAATCGATAATCTTGTTGATAGTACTGCAGCCTTCCTGCGTAATACACTTGATACCATTGCCCCTCTGAAAAAGAAGGTAGTGAAACAGAGGAGGCTAGCCCCGTGGTACAGCTCGCAGCTCCGCTCCCTAAAGCAGGCATCACGAAAAATGGAAAGGAGGTGGCGCTCCACTAAGTCAGAAGAGTTTTTCATAGCCTGGAAAGATAGTTTAATAACATATAAGAAAGCCCTTCATAGTGCCAGAACCACATTTTATTCATCACTGATTGAGGAAAATAAGAACAACCCCAGGTTTCTTTTCAGCACTGTAGCCAGGCTGACAAAGAGCCACAGTGCTGTTGAGCTTAACATTCCCTTAGATCTCAGCAGCAATGACTTCATGAGCTTCTTTACAAATAAAATCACAACTATTAGAGAAAAAATTGGTCGGACCACTCCCACAGCTCTCGCAGATGTGCCATCTACTACAATGGCTTTAGAAACATCTGTAAGACCTCATTTATACTTGGACTACTTCTCCCCTATAGATCTCTCTGAGTTGACCTCAACAATTGCTTCATCTAAATCATCAACAGGTCTCCTGGACCCCATCCCG